TCTGGGCTTTTGAAGTTAAATTAAAAAAAAATTTATTTTATTTTGGGTAGCAGCAATTAACAGGGGTCAAATTTTACCCCGTGGGTTCTCCAGGGTTAAATAACACTCTTGCTGCATCCCAGTTCGCTTACTTATACTACGCCCTAAAAGTATGTACTCTTTTTGTGAGGAAAAAGTACATACTTTTGAGTGTGTAGCAAAAGAGTAGGCAAGCTTTGGGACATACTATCACGTCATCTTTAACGGACAGCTCTGTCGCGTGCTGCGTGCTAGCCTGGTTCCATAGACATATACACTAGACCTCACCTTGGATACGGCAGTTCATTAGAACGAATGCGTCAATAGAGCCGCCATCTTGAAACAGGGGAGCCCCTCCACTTTAATGCATCAGCGTCAATGTAGTAGACACAGGTCTAACGCAAATAAAATCACCATAAATCATCATGAATGCGATTTTTCTTGTTTTTTGGTTTGTTCCAACGGTCAGACATGTATTTATCATTGATTCCAGAAAGAATTTTTTTTTTTAAAAAAACATTCTTCCTAGTTCAGATTTCATCCGTGAACTTCATACGCTGCACAAAAGTCCGCCACCATCAATGAATTCGAAGTAAAGGCAGAGATAGCAGCGTTACCTAGCTACTTCCTATGACAAGACCACTGTTCCAAGATGGCGGCGGTTTTGACGCATGCTAAGAACCCCCAGGTGAGGTCTAGTGTATATGTCTATGGCCTGGTTCAACCAGACTCTAGCCCTGCGTCCCAATTCGCCTACTTATACTACGCCCTAAAAGTATGTACTCTTTTTGTGAGGAAAAAGTACATACTTTTGAGTGGGTGCTTCTCATTTCTTATTTGTGCATCCTCGTTTCCTTCCCTCGCTTCCTTTCCTTGCGTCTCAGCTCCACCCCCTGTAGGACGCAAGGGAAGGAAGCGAGGAAAGGAAAGGAGGACAGAGGAATCGAATAAAAGCTTTTTTATATACATTGGAATTCTTGATCACTCGAGCGTCACTCCACAGTGTCATCAGCAGCGCTAAAAGGATCTGCCCTTAGGCGCCGTTCACATATCGCGCCTAAAAACGCGTAGAAAACGCTAGGCGCACGCGTTCTCCTTTTTCCAAAGAAGCGCTAGGGCGGTTGCACTCCGGAGGCGTCTGTCGTTGCTAAGCAACCATCAGCTGCGCTCTCCATTACATGAAGGAAATTTCAGCAATGGATTTCCACCACCGAAAAACCTTTGCTGTAACTCTGTTACAAGATTTATTTACTCAGAAAAGTAAAAAAGCGCCGCAGTGTTTGGGTGCACCCCATACTACAAAAACGCAAGAACCATGGGGAATTTCACCAGCTGATTCAGGAACTCCGCCTGGACAATGGGAGGTTCAAAGCCTATTTCAGAGTGGACAAGGACCAGTTTGATTATATTTTAAGAAGAGGTAACAAAAATGGCGAGGAAGCTGATTGGTTGACGTGACACGTGACCTACAGTGCGCTTGCGGCATTCTGAAAAGTTGAGATGTTTTTATCTCGATGCGGCGCGGACGCGCCTGGAAAAAACGAGCGCGTCGCACCGCGACCGCGCCGCTTCCATTATGAGCGCGCATACCGCGCGCCTACATTTGAAATAACGAACTTGAGCGCGCAAAAGACGCGATATGTGAACCGGCCCTTATGATGTTGAAGTTTGGTTATTTAATAAATTCATAATAAATAATAATAAAGATAGGCTATACTGTTGAAATATCTGAGATGTGTGGTTTATATAAACTGCAAAGGTAAAGTATAAATTAAAATGATTGTGACCGATGTGAAGGGGGAGGAGAATTGACACGTGCGTCACGTTTAGTCAATATAACAGTTCCGCGTAGGATGCACCTGTGTATCCTCGCTTATGACTCCTCAGGAAGCCTCCTATCTCCTCGATCCTCGACTCCTCACGGTGCAATTAGAGAATTGAGATGTCCTTCAAGATGGCTGAGCTCGATCGGTTTCCGGGTCATAGGAGGGAGGACGGAGGAGCGAGGAGACGAGGAGGGATATTGAGAAGCACCCACAGTGTAGCAAAAGAGTAGGCAAGCTTTGGGACGTACTATCACGTCATCTTTAACGGACAGCTCTGTCGCATGCTGCGTGCATCCTGTCCTATGACCGTCTATGATGATCCTGTCACCGTAAACTGCCCTGTCAATCATCTTGTCACAGTTAAAATCCTCCATTGTATCTAATTTTATTTCCTACCGTTTCGGAGAGCACGTTCATCTGCCAGTTGTGGGTCTTTCATGCTATCCTCATGTTTGCAATTTGAATAATGATGCATTTAAAACGTAATGGTTAAACGTGTCTTTACAAAAGTTCACAACGCTGTTGCAAATGCAATATAATGTGGACAACATTGAATAAATTCATTTTCGTCAGGTTAGATACTGATAAATCACTCAAAGCTCTTTATCTAAACCTCTCTACACAACCGCGGGGACTCGCGCGTCCTCCGTATCGACTACGTGTCTGTATTTTTTTTAACACTTTTTACTCGTGTTTGTAGTTCTAACCGAATCCTCGTCCAATGCGCAATGGTTTGTGGGCAATATCAGCCGTTAGAGTGTGCATCGATCTACACTTCGGATTCTGACCGGAAAAAGTAGACCATCCGGTATCTTTGAAACACTCATTTCAACATACTACGATTTGGGACGTACTAATACTATTTTCGAATACTATTTAGGACGGATATTACATCCGGGACTTTTACTCGCTGAGCGCGACGAAACGCGCAGAGACTTTTTACACAGACGCCATTTTCTTTGATTTGCGATGCAAGGAATTCGATGAGGGAAAACGCATGGATTAAGTGTTTTATCGCATTTATATATGCATTGTATAACGTCTTATTGTTTTATAACAATGTGTATGTGCTGTGCGTGGCTAAACCGCTCTCAGGGGGCACTTCCGTCGACGCCCGATGCAGAGCTGACCAGGATTTAAAAAAAAAAAAAAAAGAGCTTACCTGGATTCGTTTGCTTTTTAACAGGGAAGGCGAAAGTAAGTGTTTTATCTAATTTACAATATGTATTTTATAATTTATTGATTTATAGCGATATTTAAATGCTTTGTGCGCTTAAACGAGCTGAATATTTTCTCTAAGGTGACTTATCTTCTTTGACTCAATAACGTTAACGTTACTGAGCTGACGACGAGGGAGGTTTGCTTGTAACGTTAACAGGAAAAACACAGAGAGTAAGTGTTTTTAATCTAATCTACAACATATATTTCATGGCATTATATTGTTTTGTAACAACAATATTTATGTGATGTGTGCGCTTAAACCTTTCTCCCAGACTAAGTTAGGCCTGCATCTTTGACTCGTGACGCAGTGCAGACATGGAGTAGTGCTTTTAACAGCAAAAACAAATAGTAAGTGTTTTAACTCATTATAACACGTGTTTTATATTGTTTGACAATATTTGTGATGTGCAAATATTAAAAGTATGTATTCCTCAAACTATATTTTACTCTCGTTTACCAGCACACCATAACAGAAAAACCAAAGAACAACTCCACAGACTGCAGACCAACAATTCACCTGAAATTGTCACTTTATGTCCTTTTTTTGGAGGACCAATTTTCTTAGAATGGGTAATTAATTTTTTCAGATTAAATATGCAAAATGATGTTGGGTGGTATGCTTTCATGTTTAAATGTAAGTTATTGATTTTAGCTATTTGTGTTTTCTAGGAGCATTTCTATGATGCACCGAGGGGCTAATGCTAACCAGGCTTGGTGTATAAAGACTGTACAGACTAGAACTTGGTGATGGTAAGATTTAACAGATAACATGAGAGAATCATGGGCACAAACATAAAACATAATCATAGCTTTGTTGCTATTTGGTGTAACTAAGATTTTCTGTGTTTCATAACACTCATTTTGAATTTGTCCAGTCAAATAACTTTACAAAAGTAATTTTTATTTTTTACTTAAAATTAGTTTTCAAACCAATTGTTTTCATGACTTGACAGGTAGATGTTTTCTTGCGGTTTAATTTTAGACTCCACTGACTAGGAAATATCTGCCTATCACCTGTCCAACATCACAGCCACAAGAAAGGAACACAGATTCTTCTGGCGGCTGACTATTAGGGAGATTTCTTAAGGTGGGTGTCTAAATTTATTCTTAAAGGGTTAGTTCACCCAAAATGGAAATTCTGTCATTAATTACTCACCCTCATGTTCCAAACATGTAAGGCAAGGCAAGTTTATTTATGTAGCACATTTCATACACAGTGGCAATTCAAAGTGCTTTACATGGAAGAAATTAAAATAATCAAAAGAAATCAGAGCTGTAAGAATTTCTTTCATCTTCACAACACAAATGAAGATATTTTTAGTGAAATCTGAGAGCTTCCTGCCCCTCCATTGACATTGACAGTAGGGTTGTAACGGTATACAGGTATGGCGATTTATCGCGATATTGACATGTACGATTATCATATCGTGCACATTTGCTTATCCGCGGTTTAAAAAATAACCAGAATTCACCTGCACTGCTGCATGCAACTTCTTTCAGCTTGACTGCTTACTCCATATCCGTACAGCGCTGAAAATGTCCGAGACAGAGGCTGCGAATCTCTATCTCCCGCCGAAAAAATAAATAAAATCTGCAGTATGGGAATATTTTGTAACTTATATCCGAAAAACGATCGTGGTGTTGTCCTTGAAGATGGATATCTAGTTTGCAAGATATGTGGACGAAGAGTGGCTGCAAAAGGAGTGAACACGTCGAACATGTTCTCCCATATTCAGGAACACCATCCCTCCGTGAAGATAAAGGTTATTCATAACTTTTATAACTTAAGGCCATATTATTTCTGTCATGTTGAGGGAATCCCGGTCTGTCAAAAAGACGCACACATCCGTCTTTTTGCGTTACAAAACAGATGCCACGTAAAATGTGCGATTTAAAAAGATAGATGGATGAATAAAGCAAAATATAGCTATGCAGTAGCCTAAATCAAATCGTAATGTGCGTGTCTGTGAATATACAACGCAAAAAGACTGGTGTGCAAGCCCCTTCTATATTCAGCGTGTCTCTGTATGAATGAGCAGCGCCGTTTCGTCTAGTAGATCTAGTACACACTCAAGTACGCATGACGCTCATGGTTTTTAAAGCTGTCTCAGCCACTACGAAGACGTGAACACATGAACATATCTAGACAGAGAACACTTAATGTGCACTTTATAATTATTTTTTAAAAGAATAATCATCAAATACACTGACTGAAACTCATAGGTGTTCAGTACAACCTGTAAAAAAAAAAGTTTGGTTTAGCCTATGACTAAAATATATTACTATTGTGTATAGTTTTTTTGTCCATGTTAGGGATGGCTCGATACCACAATTTTGGCTTCGGTACGATACCAGAACCTAATACCTCGGTATCGATACTAAATCGATACCACAGTCTGAAAAAAAAGAGTCTAAATTTAAGTGAATTGAAACAATTTTATTAAACACTGCTTGAAACTCTCAACTACAATATATATGCAAAGAAAAGTATCCCAAAAAAAAAAAAACGTATCAAAATTTTAAAAATAAAATTATGTGTAGGTAAAATTTTGATTTGGGAAAACCACTGATATTACACAATTAAAATAGGTTAATATAATAGATTAACATAATAGAATAATGAAATGACGGTAACCATTAGCTGTCATGCATCAACAGAGAATTATCAACATTTATTGCATTTATTCATCTTGGTTTGGTTACTGTTTGTGTTTGGGCTCATATTATGCATATAATGCATTGCAAAAAGTAATGTTATGATGCTAACCATATATTAGGATATTACATTTTTAGGTCATTTTATTACTGATTGATCTAGATTAATCAATGCTATATTGTTAGGCCAGGTTCCTTAATGAATGTTGACAAATGTAGCTTAATTGTAGGCTAATATTATTAATATTTATATTACTACCCCCTCTCTCTCTCTCTCTCTCTCTCTCTCTCTCTATCGCCACAGCCCCAGTAATGCCATTCATTTATCACTTTTATGCTTTATTAATTTAAATTAAATGAATATATTTGTTTGAAATAAATTGCAAAAATGAGATCATGAGACGTAAACTGAGATCATGAGACGTAAACTGAATTGGTATAGCGTGTCATGCAAGAAGATTTGAGCTTTCGTGTTTACCATATCATATTATATTGATAAGCTCTTAGGTATGTGCGCTGTTCAGTGTTCAATAAAAGTCTAAATTAAATCAGTTGAATGATGAACTCACCAGTCGATCTCTTGAACAAGTCAGGATGAGCAACTGACGAGCGCTTCGGCAGATTTGATGTGTTGCCTTCCATGGCAACACATTATTGAAAGCAAAGTTTGCAGAGTGGTTCATTGAGGTCTGTGTCTACACTATTCTCATTACTTTAGTAGGCAAAGTAATGCCTTATTTCACTAATACTGCTCTCTCTATTTAATAATTTCGGGCGTGTAAAAACCCGAATGAGCTTTATTCCACCGTGTTCCTTCGTTTGCCAGTTTCACGTGACTTGCGTCAGTTTCGGTAGCGCACTGCCGCCTAGTGGAACTTCGGAAAAGCAGCTCATCAAATACCGAATTTAACAAAATGATGATATTGTACCGTTTTAAATTAATTCTATACCGGTATTTTTGCAAAACCGGTATACCGCGCATCCCTAGTCCATGTTTTAATTTATTAAACTTCTCTTGTGTAGACAAACTAAAGTTGTTACATTTTATCTGATTGCATTCTCAAAAATACATTTTGTATTCAATCACAGAATCCAGACCAGTTATTTCAGACAACCCAGAATTTCTGAGGAAATAAATATACATTTCATAAAGACTCTATTGAAAAAAACTTTGTTACAATAAACCATGTTCAACCAAAAACCATATCTGTTTTTATTCATTTAAGGGCCATTGTAGCTGATGATGATTATTATAATCAAAGGATCAATCTAATATATAACAATATAATGATCAAAGGATCTGAGGCGAGAGGACGCTGGCACTGTCTGTTGCCGCTTCTCCCTTAAGAAAAACGTCTTTGTGGATCTTTTTGCGCTCTAGAATCTACATTTTACAAACTTTTTTACTTTTCCTGAACGGATTTATGGATGTATGGATTTTTGTATCATACCTGTTGTGGCTGGCAATCTTCTTCATACAATATCGGCTTGTACCTGAGCCGCTGCATCAGAGTTCTTTACTATTGTCTACTTGCATTGTGGTCTTGATATCTCTTACCGACACTAGAATCAACATCAGCATAACATCTCCCCGGCTTGGTGATCAGCCACTTGCTAGCCGGCTGGACAATCTTCGGATCTACTCTGTAAGTGACATGAGGCTAAAGTACTCCATCCCACAACTGCTTGACTTGAGGAAGAACAGCAGTCCAACATATATCTCAGCCATTAAACAACTTAAACTTCAAAGCCGACCACGCTACATCCATAGAAGCTGCCGTAGAAAGTTTGTTCTCTCCCAGTCTGGCGACTCGATTCCGTCCCTCTGGTCATCCGAGCGCTCTGTCGCGCGGCATCTACGTCATCAGAACGCCCCTCTACCTGGAGTAAATAGCGTTGAGGAAACCACGGAAACTACTTGGATAAGACCCGTCTATACGGAGCGGAACATAAAACGTGGAGTGGATTTCAGTCTACTTCGTTCTTTACAGCACATCACTCCATCAAACATCAAAATTAAACTGTTTAACACACAGTCTCTCACAAATAAATCTTGTCTTATACACAGCCATATATTGGACAGGAATATTGATATCATGTGTCTTACTGAGACCTGGCATCAGCCAGGGGGCTTTTTTGTATTAAATGAAGCATGTCCTCCTGGTTATCAATACTTGGAGAAAGCTCGCCAATTCGGACGCGGCGGTGGTCTAGCAGTACTACACCGCAGTGACTTAAAACTCACCCCACTGTCTCTGCCCGACCTGCTCACTTTTGAATGCCTTGCTTTCAGATGTAAACCCCCTTGCTCTATGACTATTCTTCATATTTACCGACCTCCCAAGCAAAATCCAGCTTTTATCTCAGAGATAAATGAATTACTCACTTCACTCTGTGCTACATCTGCAAACATTGTTGTACTTGGAGATATTACATTCACGTTGACACCCCCTCCTGTCATTCAGCAGCTGATTTTCTACAGCTATTGGACGGTCTAAATCTCAAACAGCATGTTGACGTTCCAACCCATATCAGAGGACATACACTTGATCTGGTCATTACTGACTCTGCTCCCATTGAAAATCTGCTGGTATACGATCTTGGAGTGTCCGATTACAAAGTCATCTCAATGGAGGTGAACTTTTCTCATTACATCAAACCAAAACGTCAAATCTATTTCAGAAACATAAAACATATCAACCCAGACACGTTGGCTTTGGACCTTCTAAAAATCCCATCGGCAAATTTTACATCAGTAAATGAATCAGTGGATTTTTATAACAGCACCCTGAGCAGTATTTTGGACCTCCACGCACCTGTAAAAACACGAATAGTCACTTTCTGACGTACATCTCCCTGGTTCACTCCAGAACTACGGAAAATGAGAACAGCTGGTCGTGTACTTGAGCGGCGTGTTTCAAAAACGGGACTTACTGTTCACAAAATAGCCTATCAAGAACATCAAAAGGCCTGTTCAATGTCGCTAAAAAAGGCTCGGACACAGTTTTATTCAAATATCATTAGTAAAAATAAGGGAAATTTCAAGCAGCTTTTCTCTACCATTAACCATCTCACCAAGCCACAAACTATTTCGCACAATGACATATCAGAAGAGAAATGCAACAGCTTCATCACCTTCTTCAGAAAAAAAGTTGAGAACATCCGCTCTCTCCTTTCCAGCACCCCTGCTCTGTCTGTCCCCACTGCCGACCCACAGCCTGGGACCTTCCAGTCTCTCTGTTGTCTTCCTGAAATCTCTAAACAACAAGTTGAGAACATCATCAGCAGGATGAAGGCTTCCACTTGCATGCTGGATCCTTTGCCTACAGCCCTGGTGAAAACACACATCAGCTCTCTTAGTCGTTTAATAACCAAAGCCATCAACCATTCTTTATGCACTGGTCACGTTCCATCTGCTCTAAAAACTGCTGTCATCAAACCCCTTTTAAAAAAACCCACTTTAGACCCTGAAGTTCTTGCAAACTACAGGCCTATTTCCAACCTTCCATTCCTGTCCAAAGTTTTAGAAAAATTTGTTGCTGCCCATCTTCAGGATCATTTAAATTCAAATTTCAGTCCGGTTTCCGTTCCGCTCACAGCTCCGAAACAGCCCTGATCAGGGTCACTAATGACCTGTTGATGGCGGCCGACACCGGCACACTATCGCTTCTCATCTTACTGGATCTTTCTGCAGCTTTTGATACGGTTGATCACAATATCCTCCTTCAGCGTCTCCATCATACTATTCGACTCTCTGACACTGCTTTGAGCTGGTTCCAGTCCTACCTGTCTGGAAGAACAGAGTATGTTTCCTTAGGAGGTGTAAAGTCTCAGACGCATACAGTCACTTGCGGTGTTCCTCAAGGGTCCGTTCTCGGCCCGATTTTGTTCATCATCTATACTCTGCCCCTTGGCCACATCATCGACAGACATGGAATATCATTTCATTGCTATGCCGATGACACTCAGCTATATATAAAAACTAACCTCATCCCATCTAAAGCCACTCTGGCATCTTTGAGCTCCTGCCTTGAGGAGATTGAGGCATGGATGAAGGCAAACTTTCTACAACTAAATAGCTCCAAGACAGAAGCTATTTTAGTTGGTACACCACATCAGGTCCAGTCATCACTAGGGCTGGGCGATAAAACGATAACGATAATTATCGCGATATAATTTTTCTCGATAAAACGATATCAAGAGGTCGATAAATGTTCGATAATGTTTATGCGCCAAAAGCGGAACGAAACTCATTTGAACCGCGCGCGCCACACGGAGCATTTATCCGCTCGGCTCAAAGTCCAAACGGCAGTGAGCGCAGCGCGAGCTCGCTAGAGCAGACGCGATTGCTTTGATCGTCTCACTCAAGACATCCAGCGAGAAGCGTTTGAGTTCAGCGAAGAACACAGATGTCAAGTTTAAACCAGTTTAGGGCAGATAAAACACCGCTGACAAAAAGGAGAAACACTGCGTGCAACGATCCAGTCAGAATCTGAATTGATACTGAATCCATTTAGCCTACCATGGATTTACTGTAAGGTTAGCCAAGTAATATTAACTGCACCATGAAATGTGGGATACATATTTAATTGTATAATATTATTAATGTAGACAATTCATTAAATGTCTTATGGAATATAAGTACAGCATTTAATAATGTATTTAACTGTTAGGCCACTGTTTTCATACAAATACCACAGAAACCATAAAGTTGCATTTTGCCATGATAGTGAGGTGCCAAGTTATAGGCTATGCCTGGTTTTATCTGTGGTTATCATCATCTAAATGAATGAGACTGAATGACCAATGGTTAATTTTAATACAACTCAGGCAGAATATTAAATTTTACCAAATAAAAATGTGGTCGTTACATAAAAAAAAAAAAAAAACAGATGTTACTGTTTTTAGTAATGAACAAAAATTTAACATTAGCTTAGTATTAGGGCTGGGCGATATGGCGATATATATCGTTACCGCGATAGAAAACGTCAGTCGTAACAGATTTTTTTATTCCGTGTATACCGCGAAATGCAAATAAGGGGGCGTGGTTAACTCCGGTGCAGCGCGCTTGACACTGATGCTGAGATTTGTCAAAGAAACATGGAGAAAGCAGATCAAGAGGATCCACAAAGGAATTACATTTTCTAAAGGATTGTTGTTAACGTGATATCTTCGGGGGGGAAAGGCAGCCGTCAACTTCAGCAGAGCAGCAGCACCCAGGCTACAGTTTAGAGGAGTGCACGTTCGCAACAGGGAAAGCATGAAGTTACTTGATAACAACATTTCATAGGCTATATCAATATCATTACGAGAAATAACCTTAAATAATGTATAGTTATCCGCATCTTTCCTTCTCTTATGTATAGTTACTTTTTAAACATGAAAATCGCTTTCAGCATTAAAATGAACATCCTGCTTGTTAAAACGAATGTATAATCTTGTTTCTGAGGCAAAATTACTAAATATGCAGCGCGAGTTATATATTTATTTTTAACTCCAAACAATTGCCTACTGGACCAGTTGATAAAATCTTCCTTTGATTCGATCCGTGATTACAACTTCACTCTCAAATTAATCGACCGCATTTTGTTGATGTAAAAGACGCGCGCATGCACAACCACTGAGAGGGAGCGCGCGGTGTTCGACGCACTGTTATAAGTTGTGTATAATTTAAACTACTTAGTCAACACTAACAGTAGCTGCGGTTTGGTTTTCATATTGCTGCTCTCCTTCTTGTCACTTCTGAACTGACGGGTTGCCAGATATAACAAAAAGAATATAACAAAAACAAGCCCGTTAAAACAACAGTGTGTGCAGAGTCCGGTTGTGCAGGAATACCCTTCTCCGTTAAAAACGCAGTATAATAAGCACATGTGGTAAAAAAATATTATAATTATATTATATCTATTATAATTATATAATAAACTGATTGATGAAGTAAAGCAATGCATGAGATTTAAAGAGATTTTTTTTTTTTTTTGAGGATAACTATATAAATAACTATATCGTGAAATATATCGTTACCGTGAAATAAAATTAGTCATATCGTGAAACACAATTTTGGTCATATCGCCCACCGCTACTTAGTATTAGCTTGAGTTAGGATGCAGATTTACTGTCAACTCACTGTCAAATATGTATTTTGAGATAAAAATATGTAATTTTAATATTGCAGCCTGCACTGCAAACTGTGC